TAAAATCTTAAATTACAAAGTTCCGATCCCATGGTGACATGGAGAATATGATATAAAATAAATGGTAATAATTTATTTATAACTATGGAAGATGAGCAAATGCAAAGAGCAACATAGCCTGTACCATAGATATGATAGAAGTGTTTTGTCTTAAAGCTGAATATTTTGTTGATGTTTAATTCTTCTGATCACACTAAACAAAGAAAAAGCCATTTGTGCTGATGAAAAAAGTGTCAATTTACAGGGAGAAATATCTGGTAGCAGATATGCAGCTTGCAGATGTCTGACAAGATCTTAACAAATTTAAAGTGGAAGTTTTGACTTGTATGGTCCATTGTTTTCAATAGATTTTGCTTCTAGGAAAATGTGCATAAGAATGCAATATTATATAAAATATATTCGGTACATATGGTGAATCATTTCTAAATTCTATGACTCTTTCTTCCTCAGCTGGACTTTTGCTATTTTTACTTAGAGCTTTGATCTATAGTTCTAAGTTCTAAGTTTAAAAAAAGACAGTCTTTGAACTGTATGAAACTTGCAGCTCTATGAAAGCTATCAACTGATAATATAGCACTGGAATTTCTATCATTTATTCATATCTGATCAGAAATCTTTGTAAATTTTAAACATTGGATCATCATGAATTTACAGTATACATCCATCACAATTCAACTGAAATACAATAGAAGCTACATGCCTACTACTAGCCCATTTTCATCCTTTTAACATTTTATTGGGACAGTATATTCACACAATACTGCTAAATACTTATCCCTCTCCTGTGTGGCTCTTCAACTACAGCTGAAGTTGAGTCACTAAACTTGGTTTTAAATTTTGATGATAGCTAACCAGAAATGGCGGTTCCATGTTCTAAAGACAGTTTAGCAAAACCAAAATTTGTGTTTAAAGCATGGTGTGAAATACTGTTAAGACTTACATTTTTGTTTATAGACTGACTGCCTTTATAATTTTTACAAACAACTCAAGGCATAGCATTATGTTTTGCTGGAAGGAGGAAAGAGGAAGTAATGAAATGGTTCTAACTTTCAAATAAATATGTGTGTTGGGTTACTTGTTAGTCATTTCAAATTATTTGCATAAAAACTGGATGTACATATCATTCAAAACAATGTTTTATACATACAGTATACAAAATCAAATAGATTTATATATAAAAATAAGGTGTCAAAATGCACACATATACAGGCACAACAAACAATTTTGAAATTAAAAAAAAACATTCTTACATTTTCTAGCTTTTGCTCAAGGTCTGCTGCAGCTTGTTTTATTGTTTTTTACTCAGTCTCATGCTTATTATAATGCTTGACCTGCAGAATATCCATGATTTGAAACCTGACAGGAATGTACAGTTAATTAGCCTGTTTACTTCTCTCAAAACATTCTATCTAGATCAAGTGGCTGGAAAAGTGATGAAATGGTTTACAAATGATGAGACTTAAAAAAAAAATAACCAGGAAGCTTAGAAAAAGGAAAATAGTAATTAAAATGTTCCTGTTGAGTTTTAACTTGGGAATCCTGTTCATATTAAACAAATATTGTAACTACCAAGAAAGATTTGAAACATTAACTGCAGCAAACTTCATTGAGGAATAGCTTGGAAAAGGAGATAAGGGGATGTTCATGCGTCCAAACAAACTGGAACACAGTAGTCTTCAACTTATGACCACAGTTAGGACTGTTGCTAAGGAAGTTGGTTGTTAAGTGAGTTATGCCCAATTTTGCGACCTTTTTTTGCCATGGTTAAGTGAATTACTGCAGTTATGTGAATCATGAGCAAATCTAGCGTCCCCCACAGACTTTGTTTCTTTGAAGCCAGCTGGTAAGCTCCCAAGTGGTAATCACTTGACCCTGGGTTGCTGCAACCATCATACTTACGTGCCAGTTACCAAGTGCCAGAATTTTAATCATATGACCATGGGGATGCTGTTACGATTATAAGTGGAAGGAAACCCACCAGTTCAGTGGTGGGCTGCCCCCGGTTCGGACCGGTTCTATAGAACCGGTAGTAAAACCAGCGGGGGCTCCACCCACCGACCCCGATGTCATCAGGAAGCTTCTGCGCAGAAGTGCTCACGGCCCTGTTGCAAACCAGTAGTGAAGGTAAGTAGAACCCACCCCTGGACCAGTTGTAAGTTATATTTTGTCAGTGCCATTGTAACTTCAAGCAATCGCTAAACAAAAAGTTGCAAGTTGAGGACTAAGTTGTAAGCAAACTGGAGCTCAGTGTCAGAATCAGCACAAGACAGAAAATACTAGTATTGAACTTTCAACTCGGAGCAGGAAAAATCTGGCAGGGAGCCAAGGTTAAGTAAAAGACCATACTGTGTGACTTGGCCTCCAGAAACAATTGGTGACTCTTACTCTTGACAAGACAACCTTATCATGTAGATATGGTCGTATCTCTAAACCTTCTGACTTCTATGTGACTTAAAGTGTCTTCATTAGATCATCCATCACTGAAATGATTTAAAAATGTTCTCATTACAGTTACTATTATTTTGGCACAGTTGTGATTTAAAAACTGTTAAAAGTCAGATGTAAAGCATACTATCCACCAAAAAAGCTCTATCCAACAAAATGAAATTTAATGTGGAGAAAAGAAAGGTTTTACACCTGGGTAGGAAAAACTAAAGGTACAAGTACAGATTAAGTGAAACCTGGCTCAAAAACAGTAACTCTGAGAGGGAGTCTCTTGGAGTCCTAGTATCAGTCACTTAAACATAACTTAACAGTGTGCGCAGCAGCCAAAAAAGCTAATGCAATCCTTGGTTGTATAAACAGAGGCATAGAATCAAAATCACGTGAAGTATTAGTACTGCTTTATAAAGCCTTAGTAAGGCCACACCTGGAATACTGCATCCAGTTTTGGTCACTACATTACAAAAAAGATGTTGACATTTTGGAAAAAGTGCAAAGAAGAGCAACTAAGATGATTAAAGGTCTGGAAGCTAAAACATATGAAGAATGGTTGCAGGATTTGGGTTTGGCTAGTCTAGAGAAAAGAAGAACTAGGGGGGACATGAGAGCAGTATTTCCTATAGTGTGGGACACACCCATGCTCGGTTTAGCGAAGGGGGGAAAAGTCCTGATATGTCACATGACACTGCTGCGACGCCGTTAGTTTAACACACCAGGTATAGAGTCTCCTGCTTGAGCAGGGGACTGGACTAGAAGACCTCCAAGGTCCCTTCAAGCTCTATTCTGATTGATACAATTTATTCAATCCCTGCTTTTTGAAATATTAAAATACAATGCTGCAATTTTCTTAGTTGTAAAAGTTCATGTGATTGTAACTAAATCATTCTATATTCTGTTCTGTAATTTGGTGGGAATCAATGGATATTAAAACTTATTATTTAGTGCAACTAATTTTAGGAAAATGCTGAATTCCTATATTTGCAAATGTTTACATTTCACAGCGATGTTAAGCACAAATGTGTTCAACTATTTCTAGAAAGCGATAATATGAAACATACCAGAAATAATTAGGTCATGTTATCACTTGTTTCTCAATCTGCAGTGAAAGTGAGGCATAAACAATAATAAAAGAAACTTTGTTTCAGAGGCAAGTTAAAATAACTAAACAGAAACAGAAACAAGGGAGAGTTTCTTCTCCCAGTTCCTTTGCTACAAACAGAAAATTCAGGTGCCTTGCACATATTATGATAAAATATTTCAACTTAATGTCATTGTGCTATGCATGATTATCCAGGAAGAAGCCATTTCTCTCAGAGCAGCATATAAGAATAATACATTGTGCTAATTATAATTACTAGAGTAAAGCCTTGGCACAAATTACCATGTTGTATATGTATTATGCAAGCTCTCTGGAGAAGACTATGCTGGGAAACATGGAAGGTAAGAGAAGAAGATGGCTAGTAGCAAAGTGGAGGGACTTAGTTACAGTGGCCAGGGATAAACCATAAAAGATTGGAAAAGGTTAACGACATCATCATGGAGAAAATCTTGCCTGGAGAAAAGGTTGCTATGCGTTGTAAACTATTTGATGGCATGTAAAAAAAAAAAACCCAAAAAAGCCAGGATGTACTTTCAGAACATAGCTGTCAAATCAGCATCTGGGAAGAGAACTTAAAAAATAATAATAATCATAGTTTGGGAAGGGAAACATACATGCCTGGTAATTTACTTTTGCTTTGCAAAAGTTTAGATTTTTGATAGGGAATAAAATGTGCCGAAGTGTGAACAAGGCTGCATTGCATTCAGACTGGTTTTAGTCCGGAGAAATTGACCTGTCTTCTGTATGGAAGAATTATCCTCAACCCTTAGATCAGTGTTTCTCAACCTTGGAAGCTTGAAGATGGGTGGACTTCAACTCCCAGAGTTGAAGTCCACCCATCTTCAAGCTACGAAGGTTGAGAAACACTGCCTTAGATGGGATAGATACTTTTCATTTAGACCAGGGCTCTCCAACCTTGGCAACTTTAAGCCTTGTGGACTTCAATTCCCACAATTCCTCAGCCAGAATTCCCAGAATTCCTCAGCCGGTCCACAAGTCTTAACATTGCCAAGATTGGAGACCCGAGTACCTTAAAAATAAAAGCGAAACACTATCTATATGGAGGACACCAGTCATCCTATTTATCGGTGCGTTGACTTCAGTGGGCGATAAACAAGGAGGAGACATACAAGGTCCTGTCACAGGATGGTGTTAGGAATAAATGGGGCCGGTCAAATCCATCTTTTGCCGATTCTTTAAAAAAGGGCCCCGGTGGCATCTTGAGTTATGGGACTGGCTAGCTTATAACAGGTGTTGGACCTCCTCCCTCCTCCCTCCCTCGGTGCAACCCTGACTTTTTGTTTGTTTGTTTGTTAATGACCAGGGAGCATTTCCCTCAAAGTCCCAAAGCGGAAAGCCGCCCTTGGCGCTCCCGCGTGCAAGTTCGGTGTGACAGAACCTCCCTTTCGGCGTCTTCCCATTGGCGGAAAGAGCTCGGCTGGAAGCCCCGCCCAGCCGCCCTCGGCTCTCCACGAGCAAAGCCAAGTCAAGCAAGAGCAGGCGGGCGAGTCCCGTCGAAGAGCAGTCAGGACCGCGCGCACTCCGCCGCCCGCAACCAGAGGGGAAGGAGCCGGCGGCATGCGCCTGGCTCCCGGGTAGAAAGAGAAGGAAGGAGCCGCGGTTGGAGCGAGCTTTCCAAACCGCTCCTGGGCAACTTGGCCGTGTCTTCTTTTACGACCAGCGTGCTGACTCCCGGCTTGTGGCGGTAAGGCTTTTTAGGATTTCGCCTTCTGCTTTTTTTGGTCTGTGGTGCGTGGAGAGTCTCCGGGCGGGAAAAAAAAAACCCAGCAGCTGGGACTTTTTCGCGCGAGTCAGCGGGCGGGTGGGAAAAGTCAAGGCAGCGTTGCCGACAGAGGCAGCTTTTTTTCCCGGTTAATTCTCTCGGTGGTCCGGAGCGCGGCTTAACGCAGGTGGCGCTCGCCAAGCCCAGGTTGGCTTGGCTCGATCCGCCCGGCGCGAAGGGATTGCGCGCTCTTACCTACCCTTAGAATTGTATCGCCAGACGCGTTTCACCTGCTTCGCGGGGGTGTTTTGTTTTGTTCTGTTGTGCTTAATAAAACAAAACAGGATGTGAAAGAGCTGCCCCAAAGGTTCCCCCCCCCATCCCGATAGAGGCGGAAATGAAAGCAGATCTGCGGTTTGGGCTTCGGTGGTGAAATATTTCTCGCTCCGGCGCTTCGGAGCTCCCTGAATGGGCGGCGTGCGATTCTTTTTAAGTGCAGGTGGTTTCTTGATGCTCCTTCCTCCAGGTTTCTCATTGTGTGTGTGTATGTATGTATGTATGTATGTATGTATGTATGTATGTATGTATGTATGTATATGTATATGTATATGTATAACGAAATAGCTTTAAAAGTCTGTGGAGAGGTTCGGTGTGCGTGCGTCTGTCTGTCTCTCATCTATCTATCTATCTATCTATCTATCTATCTATCTATCTATCTATCTATCTATCTATCTATCTATCTATCTATCTATCTACCCCAGTGGTGAAATCCAATTTTTTTTACTACCGGTTCTGTGGGCGTGGCTTGGTGGGCGTGGTGTGGCTTGGTGGGCATGGCAGGGGAAGGATACTGCAAAATTCCCATTCCCTCCCCTCCCCACTCCTGGGGCCAGCCAGAGGTAGTATTTGCCGGTTCTCCAAACTACTCAAAATTTCCACTACCAGTTCTTCAGAACCTGCTGGATTTCACCCCTGATCTACCTTGTTTTCCTGAAAATAAGACATCCCCTGATAATAAGCCCAATTGGGCTTTTGAGCACATGCGCTAAAATAAGCCCCCCCTGAAAATAAGTCCTCCCCAAAAATATTTAAACAGAGCTGGAAATCAGGTAAGACAGCAAGAGGAGCCCCATCTTGCTCCATGTGCCCCAAAATAATAAGACCTCCCCAAAAATAAGGCCAAGTGCTTATTATGGGGTTCAAAAAAATATAAGACAGGGTCTTATTTTCGGGAAAACACGGTATCTATCTATCTATCTATCTATCTATCTATCTATCATCTATCTAGTTATCAATCGTCTATCTATCATGGGATCTTGCAGATCTAACGTTTTGTTTCCTTCAGCTACTTTCTATTGAAGATAAGTGGAATTTAAAGAAGGCCCCAGGACAGTAAGGTTTCTCTGTTGGGAGGATGAGTGAACCTTTCTTGCACAATGCGGAATTTGATCTATTCGGAAGTGAAGTGTGTTGAATTCATCTTCGGGGTAATTGCAGATCATATTGCAATGGAACAGATTTTCTTCTGGCATCATAAAGTTGAGTAGAGTCTGCTTCGGTAGACACATGAAGGGTAGCAGTGCATAGGTACCTGACCTGTGTGGAATGTGTTCGTATAGATACAGTATGGAGAAAAGAAATTCTGTACCAATTATCTCCAGTTCTCCCTCCCAGAATGTTTTGATTTCCAATTCATATCATATTGAGTACTGAGTTTGGGTAAATGATCTACACTTTGGACTCAAGAAAGCACCATCTAAAGGGGATGGAGGGATTACTGTTTTCCCCAGCCTAGCAGGGTGTTGTGATTTGCACTATACATTATTCTTGTCTATCCTTTGGATTTGAATTCTGGGAGCTTAGACTGCAGCTCATGAAGAGGTTGCAAAGTTGAGGTGTGATTTTTTTTGTGTGTGCCTTAAAATTTCACTGTTCTTAGGCTTTTCTAAGTAGTCTTAAGGAGTTATGCTGCTTCTACAGTAGTGTTAAGGAGTTATACTGTTGCTGATTGGAAAGACTAGAAGTTAGGAGTTTGTGGGGAAAATGAGATGTGGCAGATAAAGAATGAAGATAGAAACTGGCTGGGTGTGGAAGGGAAGTCAGAGGCTGCTTATTGGCAGCTGTTGAGGTTTATGAACATGTTGTTCCAGTTATGGGTGAAGAAAGACAGCCTAAACAGAGTACAAACCATAAAGGTATCCTCATAATAACCTTATAAGAAACATCCATATATTGTAATGATAAACAAGCAAAACAAAACATGTTGAGGACACTTCACTTCAAGTAGAATGTCTTCTCTATGTTTGCCATACTACATAATACCTTCTTGAGCTTTAAGTAACAGAGCTTGTATATTATAATTTTCAATGTCTTCTTTGACTGTATCACATGACATGAAAATCCAAGGTTAATGGAATTTAGTTTTCCTGAATTGCAAGCTCATTGAACCCTAGATTAATCACATGCGCTGAGTTTGGTTCAGTATGCTAAGCTAAAATATGGTTAACTAGCTTTTGATTCAATGTATTGCACTAACACAGCCTTGGTAAATCTTCCTATCAGTATGGTTCTTTGCCACGGGTATGCTATGAATCACTATGAAACAGTGTGCCTATTTAAGGAGATGTATGCCTGTGCAGTCAAGTGGGGAACGGACATTAGACTTTGAATTTCTCCTATGAATTCACTTTGGATCCTCCTCCACATGACTGTTATATGGAATGAAGTACCAGAATAGATGTGTGGGTGAATGCTTAAGTTCTAATAGTCTAATAAGTTCTGCCACATTGCTCTTCTTTTTTGTAAGCATGGTATGATATCCTGGGTTTTTAGTTTTTATGTTTCATTAAAAATAAATATTTTCATTAAAAATAAATTCCAAAAGGGATTGAAAAGCAATGGTTGCATTTGACTCAAAAATATATGCACTTTATAAAGTATAAAATATATTTTAAAGGTTTTGACAACTGTGGGGCAAAATTTGGAAAAGGGCAGAATGTGGTAGGTAGCTTCTAATTTGTAAATACATCCAGGAAGAATGGAACAGGGCACCCTATACTTTCTAAAGTATCCTCAAGCATCCCTGCTTTATTGTACCAAACTCTGTACTTTCCCTTTCGTATATTGTTTCAAATAGCTACAGGTACTATGACCCCTAGAGGGATAGCATGTTCAAAATTGCTGATCTTCTTTATCTGAAATGTCAAGGGAATCACTGTTTATTCCAGACACTTGAATAAGGACTTCATTCTTAACTAAATGTATAGCAGATACCAGTTACTTCAATAAGTGGCTCACCCTATATTTTTATGAGAAAAAAAGTTAAGGCTAAAGTTGATTAGGTGCTTCTGTTTTAAATCTCAAAACCACCATAGAAAAATAATAATAAAATGGAAAGTGTCAAAAACAATGGGCTTTGGTTCGTTTTGTTTAAATTCTACTTTTTTATAAGTTTTAAATTCTTTTTTTAATATGTAAACTCTTACTTTTTTCCTTTCATGTCTGCTGTTGTCTTTAATGGAAAAAAAGTTTCTTCAATGAGCAATGCAGTTGCGGTGCTTGCTCAACATGAGGCATGTCAATATTTTATGAGTGACTATGTAATACTGTCATACGAATAATTTCAGTTGTGACTGCTCTGTTTGCTTTATCAGATCTTCAATATATTGTATTCACCTCATGTTGGGCCTAATTAAAAAAAGGTGTCTGGTATTATCCTGGCTCTGAATTGTGGATTGCTGCTCATTACAGTATTTGTCTAGTTATTTGTATTGTCTGCAGTTCTAAGTTACACCCAGGCAATTTAAACATTCATTTCACAAACGAGATCCCTCAGAGAGATTTATTTTCTTGTATTGATCGTCTTTGGACTCACCTCAAACATTTTGTCCCTGGGAGAATCCTTGCTGTAAGACTGGTGATCTTAGGCGGTACTACATGTGATTGGTGTCTGTATTTAGATGTCAGCATGTTTTTATAGACTAGCTTTTCTCAGTTGCGGTTCCTCAAGTGGTCACTAGGGGTTCGGTAAGGGATTGTGATTTTTTTTTTAAAAATCATTTTTTGAACTTTGTGTGCCACATGATGCTAACACTCACAGGAATGGAAATTTTTACATGCTATGACACATCAGCTGGCTTGCAAATTTGCTGTTGTTGTAAACATTGTGTAGGTTAGAAGGGAGTTGTATTATAAAATACATACATATATATATTAGAATTTTTATGCAAAGGTTCCCTGAGACCTGAAAATTATTTCAAGGGTTCCTCCAGGGTAAAACATTGAGAAAGGCTGCTACAGACAGTGATGGATAATACATTAATTGGGAGCCATGTTATGCTGTGTGCAGTAATGAACCAGAGATGGCCTGGACTAGGGCTGTCAAACTCACGGCCCTCGGGCCGGATGCGTCACGCTCTGGCCACACCCACCCCCAGTTTAGCAAAAGGGGGAAAAGTTGTATGTCATGTGACGCTGCCGTGACACCGCGAAATTGACACCCCTGCCTGGACTCCAATGTGTGACATAGTCCTTGATGGCTAAATCCTAAATATGTTTATTAGGGCAGAAAGTAGATTAATAGTTCAAACACAGGTAGTCCTCAACTTACGACCACAATTAAGATCAACAATTCTGCTGTTAAGCGAGACATTTGTTAAGTGAGTTTTGTCCCATTTTACGATTTTTATTGTTAAGTGAATCACTGCATTGTAATTTAGTAACATGGTTGTTAAGTGAATATGGTTTCCCCATTGACTTTGCTCCTCAGAAGGTCGCAAAAAGTGACCCCATGACCTTGGGACCCAGCAACAGTCATCAATATGAACCAGTTTGCCAAGCATCTATCTGAATGTTGATCACCTGACTATTGTAAATCGAGGATTACCTGTATAGGATTGTGATCTAGTATTCTGATCCTGAAGTCAGCACCAGCACTAATATGACATCATCGGTTTCTGGTTTTATATTTTTAAAAACAGTTT